CCCAATAAGTAACTGGTGTTTTCAGGAGYGCTTTTGATGGACTTGCATTTAAATGGTGTGTAATTCTTTTCTCCCTTAGTTCCTTTCTGAAAAGATTCAGTGGTGACAGTCTAAAGTGGACTGGAGTATAATGTTAGTGTCATGAAAAGCTGGAGGTTACCAGAAGTAAACCCTCTGGTCTCTTCTGTTTTTGTCTTGTTAAAGATTTGATAAGCTCCAGGAGAATAAAAGACAACAAAGAGGCATGTCTTTGTGAACTGAAGGAATAGTTGTCAGAGGTGGAGACTCTGAAGAGCCAATTCCCATGGTTTTCCATGTTACCTTCAGCTCTCTTTGCTATCTCTGAGCATTTCCTTCCTCTAAACATTCAGAGGAGAGGTATGAAACAATTAACTTTAATCTTAAACATGTTCCAGGTGCCTTAAATCTTCTGTCTTTTCTGAAAAGCAAATTAGGAGAGATGATTATTGACAGTCTTATATGTAWATGCTCTATCAATGGGGAGCAATAGCTAATCAAGGAACATGCACCTCTTCTCTTTCCATCCTTTGCCTACCTGTGCCTGACTCAGAGACTAAGGCTGATGCCAAAAAAAAAAGTTAGTTTATATAACAGAATAGTACAGAGCTCTTAAATTTCTCTTTTGCTTATCTTACTCTTAGAGAGCTGTCAAAAGGCGGTGCCTTCACCATCCAGATGCTCATTTCCCGTTCGTACAGGCAGTAGCAGAAAGTCAAATAGACATTTTCACAGAAGCATATTTCTTCAAATAAAAGYATTTTATTTAAAGTTCTCCATATAACTGTGAAGGCATGATAAGGCAGAAAATGCAGCACTACTAAGATCGTCCTGAGAAGATCTTCAGCACCTTAGTGACGTGACAGATATTCCGCATATAAAAGAAATCAATATGGCTTGCCTACATATTTTCTTTGTTCTTTATTCTTTCTGATATGCAAAAATGAAATTAAGCATGTCCCTGAAAAAGCTGTACTTTGTTGACCAGAATGGAGCCCACACAGTTAAAGCTGAACAGAATTATAGGAAAAGCAGGTTTAAGGATGGAAAGTTCTGCAAGTGTCTAAGCACAGCTTGTTGAGAAGATATTGACTGTGATATCTCTCTCTTTTTTTTTTTTTAACCTGTCACCCTCTTGAGCCTAAATCGATCTTTGAAGAGGGATTTTTCATGTCCCTCTTTACAAAATAAAAAAAAAAAAAAAATAAAAAAAAAAAAAAAAAGACTTTTCTCCTTTCCATTCCTTTTCTTTCTTTTAGATTCCAGGTAGAAGACCCATTTGTTGATGAGGAAAATGTCTCCTAACCGGTCTTTCTTTTATGTTTTCATTCTGTGATACTACATCACAGTGACATTAACACAAAGGACAAGTGCAAAATCTTTTAGCTGAGTGTCTCTTCAAAGTGCCATTAATAGCCTGGGAACTTATTTCCCTGCAACATAAGCTGGCAAAGGAGCCAGTGAAATGAACCATCGACCCTTAAAGTTTATCAAGATAGGCTTTTGTGGAGAGGCAGTCATGCTTTCTTCTGGGTCTGCATAAGCTTTTTTGTTTTTTAAAGTTGTGTGTGATGCAGGCAGCCCACAAAGGCAGCGAATTGTTGTGTTTTGAAATGCACATGGTCACAAAAAATGCTAACTTGAAAGCTGCTCGACTGTTTCACCTCTTGCTAATGGTTAAGTCCTAAAGCAGGCTGCCTCCGTAAGCTTTTGGTAGATAGGAATTTTCTCATTTCATGCTCAGGAAAAAGTTTTCATAGCTCTAGAGCAAACTTAATCAATTTCAGGCATCTGTTTCATCATATTTGTTTATATAGTTAGTTAAAAAATAGTGTATTGATTAATCAGGAGGCTTCTCAGATATTAATTGCAGAGCTCAGGGTCTATTCACAATTGCAGACCTCCAGCAAAATCTAGGACAGGGAAAATTAAAAGCAATGTGGAAAGAACATAGTTTTTATATGCAGATGTTTTAGAAAGTGTTCCCTTTCACAGCATAATTGAATTATTACTTAAAGGACACAAAAAAAGATAACATATTAAAGAAATTGAATTATATGTATGATTAATTCACACAGTGGGAAGCTGATTATAAAAAACGTAATTTTATACATCTGACCTTGAAATGAATAACACAATTTTTAGTTTTGTCTTTTTTTTTTATAAACATGGAATGTAATTAACAATAATCTTGGCAGAGAAGCAAGGGTCTAGCATAAAAATAGGTTTACAAAATAAATTTATACCATTACTGAGCTTAACATATAATAAAAAGAAGGATTTTCTAATATGTGAAAACTAGGGAAATATTCAGCAATGTTAATTAAATTCACATGTTGTAAAATCGTCTAATGATCTAAGTCTCTCAGTAATATGTTTTTTTCCTATCAGAATTTTACATGAGATTTCATACTATGCTTTAAATCCATATATACATGCCGTCAAACCCCCACRCCACCCTTTAAAGCTCCGACTCCCTCTAACTGGTGGCTTGCTCTGCAGCTGGAAGTAGGAGTGTGGTTCCATTGAAGGTAACTTTAATCCCGTTTTCCCATTCTGTGTTACCTTCAATCCTGTTTTCCCGTGGGTTGCTGGTGAGAGGGGGGTCCTGCTGCTGCTGGTCCCTCTGCTCCCCATGATGGAGCCATTAGGTTGCCCAAGAGCTCCTAAGCGAGCCACTGAAAAGCTGCCCCTTTCCGTGGTGCTTCATGGACCTTGTTTGAGGAGAATAAACTACTGCCCTCTGTGCTCCGTGAGAGGTGAGCTGTGGAGGTGCTCCAGCTGTTCCCGTGCCTTTCCGTGTTTCCTCCATCCCAAGTCTTTTCCCTCTGCTACTCTTCTCAGACTTGGATCCCAGGAGGGTTTTCCTGCCGGCTCAGCCACCACCTGGGAAGCTGCATCTGGGCCACAGTCATTTCACAGAGCAGGCAGCAATTTCTWAATAAAATGCAGGTAACGAGGTGATGTGTGGGAGCATGTTACACAGGGCGTATTTGGAGTAGAGTCATCTGCACTTTCATATTTGAGAGTGACGTGGGACCTAGCAATCATGAAAAAAAAAAGTTTGAGAATCATATGTCTAATTAAATTTCTGAAGTTGAGAGCATTTCTTTATGAATTTAAACACATTTTTAGAAGGGGCTGTATCAAACAGGCAAACAGCTAGAACATGATGTGAAAATACTTGAAAACCTATGGAGATTTTTTAAATCTCCTTTTCATGTGTGATTCCCAAATGATTTACCCTAAGCTTTTCGCAGAGAATCATTGTTATGGAATAAGATGTTACTTGATAAAATTGAATTAGACTGGCTTTATTCAAGTGAAGAAAATTAGGTTTGAAAATTAGGCTTTGTATGAAAAACAAACCTCAAATTAAGTCTTGAGAAATTCTCTGATACAGTTTGGCAACTATTTGATGAATTATGAACAGATTAATGATGAATGATTTGAGGAGATATGCATGTAATTGTGACCTTGATCCAGCTGTAGGATTCATCAGTATCTAAATCATCATTTTGGTCTTCTGAGTAAAAATTACAATTTTTTTATAGAACATATTTCTAATTTACCTCATAATTGAAAGATGCCCCTTGAATTTCTGAAGTTAGCATTAATTGCTTTTAATGTTCATTTTTGTTTCTTCTCTTTTTCGTTTCCTATTTGGTTGTTGCTGCTGCATTTTATTAATGCACTCCCAGCCACTTGTCTTTTTCTCCTCTGCATATCTCAGAAGGTTAAAGGGCAGAATTGCTGTCATTATATGGAGAGTGACTTTATGCAAAAGAGTAGGAAATAAGGAGGGACTCTACACAACATAGGCAGTACCAAGCAACTGTGATTCTTGTCTCAAACATGGGACCTTAATCAACCTTAATCCAGATGTCTTGACCAGTGGGAGAGCACTTTGTACATGACTGACTGTATTTAGCCTCCCTTGAAGTGCTTGCCATGATACCTGTTTCTTGCCATGAATTTCCAGGCTTTGTTCTTTGTGGTTCCCCAAGCCCTCCGTTATCTTTTTATTTCCATTTCATCACCTGCCCATCTCTCTCCCTTTCTCATGTGATTCTGTATCTGCTCTCTGCCTGCCAACTCTCAAACATTCCTGTCTGCTCTGCTCTGTGTGTTGRTTTTTATCAGATACCTGTAATGCAGTTGGTTAACTGCACAAGGTTCAGAGCAGACCTTACCCGTGGAAAACACTCTGTGAAACCCATATTACACACAAAACATCATAAGAAGTAAGAAGAGCTTTCATACCACAGTGGTCATATGGTTGATTGCTGTCAACTTGTAGAGAGAGTGGGTCAGGGCTAGGAAGGCGTCCCACTCATGGGGTGGACAAAGAGGCAAGCAAATCCCAGACATTTTGTAGCTCCTCTTCTCCTTCTCTAGAGTATCTGCTTACAGCCCAGCTCTGCTTCCAGTCATGGGGTATAACTCACTTCAGGAGGGTACTTCAGCTGCTTGCGGGGTTGGCCCGTGACCAGGACATACCTCCAGAGCAGCTTTGAGCATGGCTTGGGCATGCCTGCAAGCAGCAGTGAGGACACAGGCATGGGGCAGCTCACACCACCTGCTGTGGGGAGGCTGCTCACCACAGGTTGGGTGGAAGGCAGAGTCAAACAGCACATTCTTCCCATCATGTTCTTCAAAATGAGGAACTGTGTCCTAGACTTCTTTCTGTTGCTGGGGAATGTGTGCCATTGTTCGTCTTTTTTACATGCTCTTGTGTTTTCAGTGGCCAGAAAGTCTGCCATGAGGAGTCTAAGAAGGTGAACATGATAATGTTAAAATATGCTCATAGGGAAGTTGCAACATGGGCATGACTTGCTATGGAGGTCTCAGTTCTGCAAGATACGATAGATGTCTGTGCTTTTAACACCTGAGGATGAGCAAGGTCAAAGCCTGTAAATCCTGACCGTCTGTATGTTGTTGGATTATGTTGCTCACTTGAAAAATTGTTTCTGTGACTGCAGGCATGGAACCCGTTGTGCTGGAGAAGTGGCAGCCACGGCAAACAACTCACACTGCACAGTAGGAATCGCCTTTAATGCCAAGATTGGAGGTATGTGAAGCAGTCCCCCTGCCAGAAAATGTAACCGAAAAGCAATGTGTGCACTCAGACCTTCCTGCATAAGAGGAAGAGCTCTGCAAGATAACAGCCCTAGCTGTGTGAACAAGTACAACCCAGTCATGTTGCTGAAGCCCATGAASGAGTTTGTCAGCAGTGAGAGACACCTCTACAGTGCTCACTGGGACACCGCCTCTCATCACACACAGGGAGATAGAAAACAAGACTTTTGATGAAAATGCAAAAAAAGCCAGAGTTACATTTCCTTTGGGTTTTCTCACATATTCAGAGCTTTGACTCACGAGTTCTGACAAATCAGAAGTAAATGTGTATAGCAAGAATGTCATTTTTTCATGTAGACCCCAAACAAAAAACTGTCATCATGGTGAAACTCAAAAGAATTTTGTGGGTTTGGGCCATTGTTGTAGTGTATCTTTTGATCCCTCTGTGCAATCAGATTACTGCTTGAAGCATGAGATTTGATGACGCTTTTTTGTTCTGTTCAGCCCAAAATTCCAAGTGATTCTGTAGATTCTTAGTCAATGGCTGCTCAGTCAAGATCTCCATCTTAATTCTTGGAAATGGCTGTCAAGATACCAACATATCTCATAGATCATAGCCCTGTCTGTACCAAATTTTAATGCTCCAAGGGAAATGCTCTATATTTTTCATGAAATTGTGAGGTCAGTATATTGCCTTTCAGTGGAAAAACGTATAGCTTAAACTCATTAATAGTTGATTTTCTGCCCCAAAGCAGAGGCCATCTGTAAAAATATAAACATGCTTACCTATAAATAAAATACAGTTCAAAAACATGAGGAGGCAAAGCAGAGGCCATGTGTCTGCAACTGATGGTCCTGTATCTTTGCTTTACTGGATCAGTACCTGTTGATCCAAATCAGAGGTAAGCACAGCTCCATTTCAGATTAGCCAAAACACACACTGTAGACCTAATGTCAGCTCTCTGTTTTCCCCCTGGCGTCAAGAGCATAGACAACACCTGATCCAGCGTAAGGTTAAAGTAATGCACAGAAACAATTTCCCTCCAGGCAAAGAGCCTGCCCGCGCAGCGTTGACCTGTCAGAAGGGTTTAAACGAATTGGCACTGGCCRAGTGAGCTTGTCCCAGATTGCCTCATGGCAATTGCTCTTGGAACCACAGCCATGAAATCAGTCCTACTGTGTGGTCAGACCGCATCTGAGGAGAGTCAGGGCATCAGCACAGATAAAAGCTCATTTCTAGAGCAAAAGCTGCTTTTGCGAGTTGGACCAGCCACAGCCCAGACATGTCCTTGAAGAGCTCTCTATTATTAACAATGGCTTTTTAATACGTTATTATTTATTAAGCATTAGGAATGTACAATAATACTTTAGAAAGCCTCCAGGCATACTAGATGAACCACAGCCTGTTCTAAATATAGTGTAAAAACTGATTCAGATAGACTTACTATGAGCACGGTAATCTAACCAGTAAAGACTGGATGTATATGCCTTTTCATTATAGCTATTCTGTGTTAAGACTATACCAGCATTCAAGAAATCTTGTTGGTCTAAATGAAATTTATCTGCCCAGTTTAACACAACACTTCTGCAGAGCCATCAGTAATGCTGTATGTTAAAGAAAGCTGAACGCACTACAGTGGCAGCTGTATAAACCTCACTTGAGGTCATGTACCACCCTTTAAAAGTATCAGTACTTTGGAATAAGGCCTCAGGGGACTCAGTAGATAATCTGCAGTAAATCAGAGGAAGGAGGGAATTCTAGGGTATCAGAAAGGGAGGTTAAGCCTTTCTTTCTTTTAGGTGTGTATGTTCAAGAGTCTGTCTGTTGCTGACCCCTTCTTGGCATGCCTCCCTCCCTCTCCTCAGGAAAGCCATAAGCTGCACGTGTGAACGTACAGCGGTCGTGTTTCCCCGCCACAGGCAAGAGACAGAGTAAAAATGTTGAATGATATTAGACTGAACTGGTGTTCAGGTCGCTTATTTCCCAGGGATTTAAAGACCCTTGTTTGGCCTTTTAGGAGAAGAAAATAGAGACGAGGTAAAGCAATTATGTTCTTCTCACACAGAGGAGCACCTGCTGATAGAGATTTTGATTTTGGGCCACCAAAATGGTGGTATTCTTTACTTCCAACCAAATGTGAGTTGGTGCTTCTCTGGGCACATAAGTGATAGTGAAGAGAGAAAACAAATGGCAGAAGAAATCCCTTCCATCAATATTTCATCAAATGCTGGCAGCTGAACAAATCCAATTAATGATTTTTAGGATGGAAAGTCATTAACAAGATTTCTACAACTAATACTCACTTGCTTTTCTAAATGTGTTTGTCCCTTTCGTCTAATTCCTGCATATTTAAAAAAACTGTAATCACAAAATGGATCAGAAAGAAAAGATTCTTAGAAAGCTTGAGACTTCTCTTGCAGCCACATAAATGGAGATTGAATATGCAGATATGAAACAATGAGTGAAGCTGCAGTCAGGACCATCATTCCCTTACAGGTTATGGGATGATGTGTGTGAAAAAATATGCAATACACATGTAGTTATCCCAGCAAAAGGCCTTGTCATTAACAAACAAAGCAATGCACCAAAGCAGTAGTTTTTTTTTTTTTTATGTGAAACTCTTTGCAGTAATCACACGTAGCAGATTACCACCTACAGAGCTTGAGAGACTTTTCATAGGATGGGATGGTTAGCGTGTTGTTATTGTTGCAGACTTATTGTAGAAGTTGCAAAGCATCTGTGGGGATTTGGGTGCTTAGTTACTTGGCTGAGCTCAAGTCCTGACGGGAAAACAGTTACACTGAATTATGGCAGAACAGATGTAGATTGTCTTCAGCTGACGAGGAATTAGTTCAGCTGTTTCTTTAAGCCTAAGTCAGATGCTGATTAAAAACAAACATTTTAAAAGAAACCTTGCTTTGAGCTTGTTTTCTTTTTTTCTTTTTTTTTTTTTTCTTTTTTTCTTTTTTTTTTTTTGCATGTTTCCTGGGATTTGTTCAAAGTTCGTTTGGACTAAAATGCCACTTACATTTTGGCACTTACTGCAAATATTGGAAAAAGTTTATAGAACGCTGCAGTCTTAGGTGGAACAGTCTGGAAACGCTGCCTGTTAATTGCCTTCTGCACAGCTTTTGTTCCACTATCACCACATGCCAAATGCACCATGGAGGTTTTGTGATAGGCAAAATTAACTACTCTAGGCATTTGAAAAAAAAGAAAGGACAGAAAAGGAAAGAAAAGAATAGAAAAAAAAAAGAAAAGAAGCAARAGAAAAGACTTATTTTTCTCTAATAGCCAATGCAACATCCATTGATCAAAGTCACCCTTGAAGTATGTCTGTCAATTACTGCAGAACAGAGCAACGCCTTGTCCATATTGCTGCAGACTGACCACTTCACTGTTAACAAAAACCTGTGTAAAATACTTCAGACACCAATGACAGAATTCAGACTTATTGTTCACAGAGTGATTCTTGTATTATTTAAGTTTGCTACATGGTTACTGAAACATCAAGGGAAGCCTTATTTTCCTTCTTTTAAGCATAGTGTACCTTTTTATTGTCTTTATTTAAAACCAAATATATTTTAATGTGCTTGAAAGAAATGAGAACACAGCTTCYACTCATCATTAATTTCTGAGATTATGCTGAGGAAGCAAAATAAAACCTGAGATTCCCAAAGTTGTTCTAGTSGCTCTTTATTAAGTAAAGTTCATAGTGAGATCACTGTTTGAACAAGTTTATTATCTCACAAAACACAGGCTGGTTATGTGTGAACTTAGAAATATGATCACTTTTCATTTTCGAGTCAATTAGGGTAAGGGAGAAACACAGACATGTGTCTCTATGAACATGTGTCTCTATGTACAAAGCAACCCCTATACCTTTTACTAATTGGAAGTTAAGGTCTTGGTAAATAGTCCAAGACAATCTAATTCAACCTGAACTCACAAGCAAATGTGTCTATAATTAAAATATGCAAATTTTGGTTTATAAATAGCAGAGGTCTTTTTAAAGTGGAAAAAACTTCAAATTTGTTAATTGTGGAAGGGATCATTATTCTCTATTATCATAAAATTACATGTTTATTATTTCTTTTATGCTTTTGACTGAATATCAATCTAAATGTATAAAGGTCTTTTTTCTTATTTGAGTTAAGACTATCGACAGGAGTTTCTCGGACAGTATGAAATTCAATCAGAATGTTAAGATTAGTTAAAAACCAGCTTTACGATATTCTTGGTTTTCAAATCAAAGCCTGCTTTGTTTTTCTTAGTAAATTTAAAATGTCATGGTGCCACTCATTTTACAAGCACTGGCGCACTGATTTGTCAAAACCCACATTAATGAATTTTTTTATTATTATCATTTTACAAAGTGGAATTGTATCTTTAAAAAGCCCCTTCTATATAACAGAAAGTGTTCACAATATTGTAGTTCAACGTTCAATGTATACCTAAGGTATTGTCAATAACTTTGTGTAATCCTCTTGTTACTGCATGTAGTAATCCATCTGTACACAAGAGCTTTCTCCCTGGTTTCCTCTTTGCAGCCCCACAGAATGAAGGAATAATCCCGTGTTTATCTATCAACAGAGATCCTGTGTTTATGTCTGTCAGCATACTTAGGACAATGAATATCTCAAACTAAGTGCTGCAGTTTCATTGCAGTGTAAAAGAAAAAGAAAAGCATATGTGACGTACAAACATTTCAGGGTTCAAGGCTTTTTCTAAATTTTCTGTGGCATTAAAGTTTGCTGGTAAAACGCAAAGGTTATACAGAGGACATAATGATAGATAATGATAATGAGACATAATTGTGAATAGATAATTCTTAAAACTTGATGAAAGATGAAAATATTCCTACCTACTCATAAACACCTGTGCAAAATGACAGGATTATTAACAATGGCAGGGATCCTTATGATCATTCAGTCCAATGTCCTCCGCAGCAATTTTCTCTAAAAGAAAGGCGCTTGGGGCTTGGCCACCGTGTTCATTGTGTCTTTTGTTCGGAAGGCGTGCGGATGCTGGATGGGGACGTGACGGACATGGTGGAGGCGAAGTCTCTGAGCCTGAACCCGCAGCACATCCACATCTACAGCGCCAGCTGGGGGCCCGACGACGATGGCAAGACCGTGGACGGCCCTGCCTCGCTGGCGCGCCAGGCCTTTGAGAACGGCATCCGAATGGTAGGTGGGCGTCGAAGTGCGGCCAGATCTGCTCTCGTGCATAGGCAGAAGTGCCCAGCGTGGGCAACGCTCACAGGCTTCAGGAAATAGGAAAAGCTTCACTTGTGTGAAGTGAAAAGTGCATTTTCGTGCCACGCCAACTAAGCATCTGATCCTTCCCGAAGTATCAGCCACTTTTCTTTCTGTAAACATCATGACTACATCATCCTCACTGTCCTTTAAAACTGCACTGAGGTGATGATGTAATTCCACAAGAAAAGCTAAGCCTAAAAAATGCTGCTTTGCACAACACTGCCACATCATCAAATTTGAATTGCTGTGAAACTATGAAGCAAAAGCCTTTGACTGTTTTTCTTTCTGCTTTTATTTCTTTTGTTGCTGTGTTTTGCCTGATTTCATACTTGAAATAGAGAGGTAGAGACTGAAAAAAAAATTGACACATTTCTTCTAGAGTGTATGCCTGGTCTCCAGGAATGTATACCTTTTTTGTAACTTGCATATAAATTTTTCTACTAGTTTGTACTATTGCCGTGTCTCTGTGATATATTCCAGAGAGCTTCAGTAATACAATGCACAAAATCCCAAGCACCCTTATGAGAAAAAAGCTTACGTCTTTTCAATTTCTTCAATAAATAACTGTCAAACAAGTAAGACCGCAGAAGGAAACAGACAGTCAGAGGAACTGTTGATATCAGAGGCCAATTTTTAGTCATTCTTTTTACTCTCCTGCCTGCTAAATAGATCAGGGAATTCCTCGTCTTCCAGTACTCACACCTCTTTCCACTGTATAGGACTGGATGGAAAGCATTTTACAGCTCTGCACTTGAAGGTCTGAGCATTATTTTGAAGGCAGTGGGAGGCCTGCTAGTTTAATGATGAGTACCTCTAGGACTAGAAGAGATTAAGAAAACTTGATGGCTGAAGCTGTTAAACTAGCACTGTGAAGCAAAATGGGAAAGTGCAGACATTATTTAAGGCTATAGGGGTTTTAAGCAGGTATTCCCAAGACTGATTTTAGCAAATTGTAATGAACATTTGGCTTGAAAGGTTTGTGCATTGTGTAAGAGACTGTGTTTGCCTTTTAGATATTATATTCGTTTAAGATATATCATAGAAAGTGAAGACAGAGGCAATGGATGTAGAAGGGTCATAGGCAAAGTTAGAAGAACATCTGGTTGAGGTGATAGTCTGTTTGACCTGTTTGCCCTGTATTTCAAGTGATTTGCAGTTTGCTTGACTATGAGTTACAAGTAAATTCAGCATGAAATTAGTGGCTGCTTTCACTGTAACCGCTGCCTTGYAGCACAAGTCTAGGAGCTCTGAATTCCTGCTTTCCAGTCCCAGCTGAATCTCTGGCTTGGTTTGGTTTCCTTGCTAACATTGCATAAGTTGTTTACTCTTCTGCCTGGCCTCAGATATGTTTACCGACCTGGCAGGTGAGTGTCAACAGCAATGATGGGAGCAACAAGCAAGCGGCAGGGACTGTGTGTTTCCTGTGCTATGCAATGCTAAAAGCACGCCTCCAAAAGTCAGTATTTTCTGTTGCTTTACTAACCATGCAACACCAGACCACTGCCTTCATTTCACATGATAACATGATGACCATTCAGTGGAGAGCAGCAGCCATACACTCTAGCTTGTTGTACAGTGTGTAAGATGTAAACCTACCATAATTAAATACTCAAGCATGTCCTTGACTTTACCCTGGGAGAAACTCTGCTGTTGTTTGGCAGGACCTGCACAGAGGAACAACGTGATGTTAAGGGGCTGCCTAAAGAACTGCAGGACTCGGGAAGATGTGCAGAATAAATTTCATATTTAACCAAACATATATGCTGGTTTAAATACCATCTTTCATGTTGACTAGCATTTCTATATCTAAAGGACTTGGTGTTTTCTCATTGAAATTTCAAATTCTGCACAAGTCTGGTATAAGTCAACAATGTGGATTAATTTTCTGTGAGCAATGATTTGTACTCAGGCATCATTATTCCATTTTAATGATTTATAAATATAATTAGAGAGAATACCCTACAGACCACAAATAAATCTAATTGTATTACCACATTGTGGTACCGTAATGTATTTATTTAAAGGCACTACTACATAATGAAAACCCAGTACTTTTTACAGTTCTGGATGGGTCTTTTTTTTCTGAAAACAGTCCAAAAAAACAGTTTACTGTATTTCTTAGAGTAGTATGAGAAGTCATATTTGATGAGAGTATAATTATTATTATTGTTTTTAATGTTTTAGCTTTGATTTCATTTTATCAGSCATCTTTTCTTCTGCCCAAAGTTGCCCATGCAGAGTTGCACATTTCTAACTATTTCCACATATTTTGAAATGTTGTCTAGCTCTGACTGTGAGAGCTTTTTCATTTCTGCCAAGGAACAAAAGTTTAATAAAATTAGGATAGTATTATTGAAAATATCTAATCATACACATAATAATATTAGTAAGAAAATGCTTAAGGTTAATGCTCTTTAACTTTCATTCTTTAAGGCATGGCATATACTGAAAACTTATGTTGCATGTATGTCTCAATTATGTCCATATTTATCAGCATCATTTTAAAGGCAAAAATTAGCTTTCAGATGAAGCTGTCTTCCTTGYTCCTCTTAAAAAAAAATCCTCTCAGTATTTGGATACTCTTTTTATTCTGCTTCATCTCTTTTTAAAAGCTGATACATAATTGGAGAAGAAAATACAATTTATCTCTTCTATTACACAGTATTTCTAAAACAAGATCGTTGTCCAAGGTAATGAACGCTGGATAAATACCTTGCCAAGCACTGATTTCCCCAAGCAGTAATTGTGCAAATAATAATAGGCAGACAAAAATGCATGTTACACTGTGTACAGACCTTGACCTTTAATTTTTTGAAACGTTGAGCTGAACAGCAATGCTATTACATCAGGTACCCGTGAAGTAAATTAAAGTAACTTGGTAAAAGAARGTTTGGCAAGACCTTCTTTCAGATCTACACAAAGGTTCAAAAATGATACTCGACATCAGTTCTGCATATGCAACCAGATCTGGATACTAATTTAAAAAACAGTGACTGCAAAGTATAAGGTCAATGTTTTTTAAACAGATCTGAAAAGGAAAGTATGCCTGGTTTGTTTAATTAGGAAAATTACAGGTGGTGCTAAATAATAACTTTAATTAAAGTATAATTAAACAGAGTGATCTCTTTTTATTAAATTAATGAAATGAAAAGTGAAATGATGCAAGAACCAGTTTCTTATTCAGGATTCTGAGACTAGGATTCTCGAAAAAAAATGGCAGTTTTTCTTTAGCTTGTGTTGTTCCAATTAACAGCTCAAGCAGGGTGTTTTTTAGAACTATTATTATTTTTAAACCTGCTGAGCTAATATGATTACTCCTTCCAAATCCTACACGAAATAACAAAGATAAATGACTCTACATTTCTTCCATAGAGCTCCACAGAGACAAAACATGCTATAAATTTAAATAGACAAATCTATTTAAAGAAACTATACCAAATAATAACTGAGTTTATAAAACGAAACCATAACCAGAAATTAAATACTCTTTAAAATTCTACCCAGGACCAAGGTAAACAAAGAGGAAAACAATTTTAAACCTATCTCAAGAACTGTGATTTTCTGTCATGTTTAAGTTATTTTGTTTAACCCTATTAAATTTACATAGTTCAAAAAGTAACCTTGGAGACTTTATTATCAATTTCCATGCAAGTATGTATCCTGCTTCCAGTTGATTCCTTGGAAATGGTTTAGTTACAAGGATGGAAAATTCTGGAAGCCTCTATTGTACATACTGGTGTATTAAAAGTGTGTTTATTACCTCAGAAACAATCTCATTGTTACCACACAGAACATGCCTTAAAAAAATCAGACTAAGACCAGTATAATGCAAAAGCAAGGCATTCAAGAAAGGTTGGGTAAGGGTGATGTCAGGTAAGGGCCTCTGTTCATGACTGAACAGATTTCACGTGGCCAAGCACGTGGCCCGTGAATGTGGCCATCCTGTGGCCAACCTATGGTGCATGAATGCAATTGAGCTAGAAAGAGTCTGGGGCAGAAGGGGARCTGCAGAAGCCTTTCTCAGGTGCAAAATGATACAACCAAAGCTCTGTTGGATTTTAAGAACACTGTCTGTATCTTGCCATCTGCGTGTTACAAGCATTTTATATTCTCATGCTCTCTTACATGCAGCTCTGTGATGCAGAATTGAAACCAGTTCATTTCTGTTCATAAAACAAACCCATTATTCTGAGCATCAGCCTCAGCGTCCTTTGGCCAGTCGCACTTTTCAGGCACTCTGAAAGAACTCTGTTCTTTCGCTGCCGTTTCAGAAAGCCCTAGTAATCAAGCTTTGGAGAACTGTGACCCCGGTTGATGCTTTTCATATCAGGGTTTCCAAGAGCTGGTTACCTCACCTCTCGCATGCGTTGCCAGCGACCTACTTTCTGCTATTTGTTTTGCAGTGCCCACAAGGTAGCCCACATCAGCAGCAGGAGGGCAGGTCATCCTTAATATTACACAGCAGGGTGGACAGGCAGTGAAATCCGTATGGGAATTTTTGTCKCTCTGCCCGAGTCAGCGCAGGGGCTTTGCTCTTATTGCCACGACATGGCTCTGCCCAGCGGGCTGGACACGAGCCCGCGTGTGGAATGGAGCAGGCACCTGATGAATGTTGTGTTGTGCGGCTGAGCCTCTTGTGAGAACTCGGCCTGGTGTCTCCCCTCCCATCATCGCTGCCCCTCTTCATCCCTCTCGCTTGACCAGCATCGGCCACGGAGCGGGTTTTCCAAGCGCCTGGGAGGAGCAGAGGGCTCCGGACAGCCCCCGAGCAAGCCCCGAGGCGGGAGGGACGAGCCGAGCGGGGAGAAGGAGGGAGGAAAAAGGAGAGGAAAACGAAAGGAAAAAGGAAAGGAGAAAGAAGAAAGGAAAAGAACAGCATGTAGATTTTTTAATTATATGCCAGTAGATACCACATGTGGAAGAGGTTA